GAATCACGTGGCTGGTCTGAATCTGATTTTAGAGTGAAATGCTGAAAGATAAATTACAGACTGTGTGTTGTGCAGATGTCCCAAAAGCACTCAAATAGCAAATGCAGACAAATTGTGGAACAGATGGCTCAGACCAGGGAAGCTTGACTTTTCCATGGTGCACACTGGCAGGAGGTAAGCGGTGGGGGCATGAAGACTTGAAGCTGCTCTGAGGCATGTAATAAGAAAACATAAAGAACCACAGCTGATCTGTAGCAAGAAATATGCTGCATGAAAATTCTATATCCAAATGAACTGCTGGATCCATGCACAGGCCATGGCTGGGGCAAGCTGAGAGAGGACTCACACCAAGCCAGGCATGCTCTGAACCCAGCAGAGGATGGGTGGCACTCATAGCCAGGGATTCTAAAACCATTGGTTGGGCGCCAGATGAAGACGGATGCTTTAGTCCCACACTAACTCAGAAGAGAGGGATATTTATTTAGGGTTAGACTTAAAGATCACTGTCCTAGATATCAGTCCTCTGAACAAACAGGAACAGAGTCTAGCAGCTGGAAAAGAGAGCCAGAAACAAGAGAGTGAACACATGCTTTACAGCAGCATTTATAGTATAAGAAACCAAACCCAAGTGGGCCAGTATCTTAAATACTATTGGCTGAAAGAGCAGAATGTGCTCCCACAGCACCTTGACAAAGACACATGTTTACAGTATACAAAAAGATTATTTTACAACAGGACATACATCATTGTTTTACATTATAAGGGATGCACTTTACAAACAGAAAACACTGACTAATGGAAACTTTATGAATAGATATATGATCTCTGGACATCTAGAAATCTTTCTAACTAGGGCTTACAGAGTATTTAAATGGTTATAGTGTCGTGTGTGTGTGTGTGTGTGTGTGTGTGTGTGTGATGTATTGTCAGGGTTAGTTTTCTATTGCTGTGATAAAACACTGTAATAAAAAATTAACATGGAAAAGAAAGATTTCATTTTGTTTACAGGTTACAATCCATCATCATCAGGGGAGGTCTAGATAGCAATTAAAAGCAGGTGCCTATGAGCAAGAACTGAGGCAGACTATATGCTGCTTCCTCGTTAGCTCCCAATGAATTGCTCAAGCTGCTTCTTTTTTATACCATCCAAGATAACCTCTGAAAAGTTCGCAATATCATCTATGAGGTGGGTCCCTTCACACCAATAATTAATAAAAAATACTCTGAGTATATGCCTAGAAGAAATCTAATTGAGACATTTTCTCAATTGCAGTTCCTTTTCCCAGGTGACTCTAACTGTGCCACATTGACAAAATTCTAACCAGGGCACATGTTTTCTTATTCTTGGAGTATAGTCCAGAAAGAGGGCAAGAATTAACCAGTAGAGCTACCTGAACTGAAAGGCAAGTTTGAAGCTCTTCAAATAATTTTTCTTCAGGATGTTAAGTAATGGTGTTTGAAAATCAGTATACAGGTATGTTGGCAAGAACAAAGAGCATGGCAGAGTCACAAGTACTGATTTCTGATAACTAACAAAATATTTTTGAGGAATTTTAGAATTTTCTATGAAGTTCCAGAGATGCTTTGAAATTCTCAGGACCAAAACATACCTGAATTTGAATGAGGGCTTGCAGTGAACTAGGTGAATGGAAAGGAAATCTTTTAACTATAAATGATACACAACTTCAAAATCAATAGTACTTAGTTGATTTATAAAAAGAATAATGGCAGCCCTTCATTCTTTAAGAATTCCTACTATATGAAGGTTTGATGCCTAAAATCACTGTTTCTACTATTAATACAATTAGATGACAAACAAAATATTAAATTGCCATAACCTCGAGATAGTTTTAATCATTTCAACAACCCATTGGAAAACAAATTTCTAGAAGAGATATATACATATTCAATGTGTAGCACTTTCATGGCAAAGAGGAGTGGAAAATTACCTCTATAAATATTTTTTAGTCATCCAGTCTGATTGGTTTCCTCTGTGATGAGTAACTGACAACTTTCAATTTATGGATTTGGAATAATTGATTTTTTGGCTGTCATGTACTTTGAGTCACAAATATTACACGTTTCCAGAAAGATTACTTAGAGAAGAATAGAGTGGAATAATGTCAAGTTTTGAAATTTTATTTGGAAACAGCATTCTAACCAAATGGAGTTTAACATATTTTCCCTAAGTTTTTGAAACATATTTGCTACATAATCTTTGAAAATGTACTTTGGAATATATGTTTTAAACTCTTTCATATTTTGGTTAAGTTGAAGACTCAAGTGGAAAGCAGAGTAGTTTTATTTTCACTTGCCCAAGCACAAAAAATGCAGTACTAATCAGTGGCTCATGCCACTATAGCCACAAACTTCTCCAGGAACAGGAACTTCATGACAGCTCATTTTTGCTTGACAAACATTAAATATTATGGAGTTAGCATAATATTTCTGCAAGCCAATATTTAAAAATAGAAAAAAAAGAACCACTAATTCTCTAAATCAAGTTCTGAGCTTTACTGTGGGCAGGTCCACCACATTCACTTGATTTTACTACTACTTTTTCAATGTAAGAATTATTTTAATGCAATATTTTCTTAATTATACAGAGTTATTACTATTACTACTCTCTCCCCTCCTTTGGACTGCCTTTCCCCCATCTACTCCTCAGAAAGTGTAAGACTTCCCATGGGAAGTCAATGAGGTCAGGCCCATAACTTTGAGGCAGGATTAAGGTTCTCCCAGCTTTCACTAGTTCTGATCGACTGATTTGATTCATATAGATTTTTTTATTGACTGTGAAACAACCTACAGAAGGACAGGAAGACATTCAAGTCCTAAGCCTTAATGGTGAGTGTGTAACTTAACCAAGTCAGTTCTGCATTTGTGGACACCATTAAAATTGGTGGCATGTTCAAGGGTTTTCTACCTGGTTCTAAACTGGGTAATATTACCACAACAAGAAAAACATAAATACTTGTTAGGAGACTCTTTTTTTTATTAGAATAATTGATTAAATTTTTATGGCATTTAGATCACATGAAATGAAGAATAACTGACTTGAAATATATAGAAAAATGTTTGAAATGGGTCATTGCCATGCAACCACTGATGAAAACTGATTTGAGAAATTTAAGTAGGACATCAGAATTCTCTTAAATATCACTTAATTTGTGAAATATGTAATCTCATCTTGCCTACATTTCTTTATGCCCCTACTGATTTACACTTTATTTTCTCCTGAATCTCAGGGATATTACTTTATTATAATCATTTTCTTCTTTTTATATCTTCAATCTAATCAACCTGTGTGTATTAGGACATTTTCTCATTTTTTTCTATGTTAAATAATCACCTTCTTGAATTTCATTATTCTCTGGTTCTGATCCCCTTCTTCCTCATTCTCAGGAGCCTTTCTCTCCACCAGCGTCAGAATAGTAGTTTCTTTACATATTTGTTGACATAGACCATCTTGAACTATAAAAAGAACAATGCTCATAGGCTCTGTAGTCTCAAAGCATATAGCTTTATTATGTAAACATCAGGAGTCATCATACAACATTCCACTTCAAAACAGTTGTGTGTATATTGCACACATATAAACATATGAATATTTTTTAATTTTCGATAAATGACAACTTTTTCTTTTTGGATGTAAAGCATACTCCAAGTCAGTTTTACACATATTTTTTAATTTAGTATAACATTATGTTTCCTCAAGGGTAAGTTTGTACTAAAGTATTATGTAGGCATTAATGTTTTTGATTCCTTGTTAGTTTTTTGGTCAAAATTAAAACTTTAATTACTTACATAATGTCTTAATGCCCTCTACTTATCGCAAGAATCACCTCATATCCCAAGTAAATAATCCCAATGGGACTCAAGAAACACTGACTTGAAATAATTACAGTTTAAAATTGATTAAAAACACACACACTGAACTATTTAGATAACTGAAGTGTTTGCATCTCTTCTTAACTGTGTTTCAAAGCAGGGATACCATATTTTGATCTTTTAATATGTGCTTTTAAAAATAAACTCAGATGACATTAAATGTGTTGATGTATTTTGATTCTGAATTTTATAAAATGTCTACAGAGAAATGCTACCAAAGTTAGAGCCAGTGGTTTCTCAGTTAAAGATGAAGCTACCTCCTGCCTCAATTTGTTAAAATATATGAGATCTCCACATTTTACAGTTTAGATAGTGAGAAATAGGTGAAATGAATAGTTATAATACTTATTCATTATTTAAGATTGAATCTATGGACACTATCTGCAATATATCAGAAGATGGAGTATCCAAACAATTGTGGGAAGAGTCAAAACTATACCAAAACACTAGTAGAGGGCAGCTATTTCTGTTCAGTCATAATTTTCTGAGGAGTTAAATTCAACAGCCTTGCCAAAGGCTCATAGACCAAATTATTGCTGTTTTGTTAGCACAATAAAAGCTCCTGTCTTTCTTGTGATTATAATCTTTTCTTATGCTGAGCAATAAAGGTATGAAGTTTCCTGCAATTGAATAACTCATAAAAATGAGTTGAAATTTGTTTAGTTTTGGCAAGTAATAAAAATATATAGTGAAGTATTACTTTTTTTAAAATATTACTTTGGAGGTTGGCGGAAATTAATTTTCAGAAACATCTTGAAGTCCATGCTATTTACTCATTTATACATATTGTGTTGTTATTTTATTGTTCCATTGTGGAAGAGAAGATTTGAATCTAGCTATATGAATGTCAGTTTATCTTTCAATTTTCTTTTACTGAGAATACCATCAGATTCTTTCAATATACACCTGCCCAAATATGACCATTCTGTATTATTTTATATTAATCATCAAAGGACACAAGACACTTAAATAAAATATAACAAATCTAGTAGTAACTTCATGTAGGGTAGTAAATTATCTTTCCTTCTGTATAATTAAATTTGGATGAATGTTATTTGAAATTAACATATCAAGAATAATCCTAAATAATAACTTTGGTTTATAAATATAGAGATATAAGATTAAAGTTATATTTATAGATAAATATTGAAAATTACTTTTATATAAACACCATGATCACAGTAATATGCCCAATAACTATGTAATTTATGATTCAGTATTCAAGTTTTTCAGCTCTATAAACGTAAGCCACAATTCTATCTACATACAATATACTTAACAAAAAGAAGAAAATGGACAGGAAGAGTAGAAACTAAGTCTGTGACTTTATAGTCATGTAAATCTTTGATTAATGTTCTTCCTATAACTGATAGACTACCTTCATACCCACACAACTTATTTACTATTTTCTATTTACATTCATGTAGCTATAAATATATGCTGCATGAATTTTCTCTATTTACAGTATATTTACATTTATGTATAACACATATTTTGTTTTTAAATTATCTCATGAACATGCAGATGAATCTGCACAGTATGGTGAAAACATACTTATTTGTCTTGAACAATATTTTAATTTGTGCAAAAATATCATACAGATTAATATTCTTTCACTAAAATTTCACCTTTTATGCTGCACCTTTTGTAGCTTACAAATAAACTATGAAATGTAGTTCATTCACAAATTGAAATTAATTACAATGTTACAACAAGGCATTACTGAGGCTTTGATTCTTAATATAATTGAAGTCAGTAGTCTTTCAAAACAAAGACTCCAATATGTTATTGTTAGTTCTTTATGTGTTTACTTTTGAATTATTCATAAATGCTCATGCTAGTCAAATGCTGTTTGTGTATAGTAGTAATCATAACTGTTTCATTTAGTTTTCTGGAAAAGTCTTTTTCAGAACAACTTCTGAAGAGACTAAAATCTACAATGTTTCTGGAAAGCTTTTACCCTATAGAAAAGGCTGATGGTACGTGAGGCAAGATTGAGAAGGAATAATTTTAGTGGCTGCTCAAGAGAAATAACTGTAAATGCAACAAATGTTTTAACTGCAGCTCCCAAGACTTCAACCTCTTCATGAACTTCATGAACAACCTGAAAAATTTTCACTTCTTTAAAACATTGATTGTACTCTTCCATTAAATATCAGCTGTGGTCCTCCATTGCTCATGTTCTCTGTCATTTCCTGTTAGCAAAATAATATGAATGAATTAAAACTCACTTCAGAGTAAGACTTAGTAGTAAAGCAGAGATTACAAGTCATTGAAGAGCATTTTGAGGGGAAGGACAATGATTGATACTGTTGTTGTGATTTAGGAAATAAAATTTATTGGAGTCTTAAATCACATGAAAATTTTGAAGTGACAGCCCAGGATTATATACACAAGGTATACACTATCTTTTCACATGCCCATATTTCCCCTCTTTACTTCAACTCACTTTTGGAATCAGCTAACCCAGAAAGAAGATGCCTAATTGACCAGGTTTTGCCAAAACACAGCTGCTCTGCCAATCACATCAACAAAATGTCAAAATATTCTACAGGTGTTTATAGAAAATTAAAAAAAAAAACTGTGGAGCCTTTTGTTTATAAACTAAAAGATATTCACAGTGAGACAGATATTTGTTTTGAAATGGGGTTAGAAATGTGGCCCAGACTGATGTAAAACTTGAGTGTACCTCAGAGTTGTTTCAAACTTGCAATCCTTCTGCCTCAGTTTTCTGAATGTTGATATTCTAGGTGTAAATCATCATGCCTAGACAGGAAATTATTTTTAATGACATTATCATTTACACAGAAAAAAGCAACGGGGGCGATGAAAACGTGGGGCATGTTTTTAATGTTCTTGTTACTAAGAAATAACAAAAATGTGCTTGTGAAGATGTAAACACACAGACATGAAAAAGTAACATAGAGAGTTTCATTTGCAATTATAGAAACTATTTAAAATTTAGGTTATTTAAATTCATATAACTTATTGACTGTGTTTGTTTGTTTGTTAAGTTGGTTGGTTGGTTGACTTTTAGACAAGGTCTGATATAGCCAATACTTGGAAGAAATTACTATGTACCTGGGGAATGACCTTAAATTTATAATCCTCATGCACATATTTGGAGTGGGAGTAACCCAGGCATGTGTCATTTGCCTGTCAGTGAGATGCTTGAGCTGCTAGGTAACCACTCTACCAACTATGCCACATTGCCAGCTATTAGGTCCTTCATTATATGAAAAGCAGTCTTGAGATCAGAGTCTCGTTAACATTTATAATAGTATTATAGATAATATATTATCTATCTATCTATCTATCTATCTATCTATCTATCTATCTATCTATCTTAGCAAAATTGTCCTTTATTCAAGATTGGAAATTCTATACTTCAAGTTGACTTTCTGAAGGACAGCAAAAACATTTCAAGTGAAAACTCCTGGTTTCATATTCTTCTGCTTGATACTCATTTCCATTTTGTTTCTGTTGGGAAAGTTCCTAAGGAAGGCACAATGAAAGCAGATATAGAAATGTAAGGGTCATTGGGTTGGTGTTAGGCTTATAATGATAAAAAACTGATTAATGGGAAGATTAACCAAACTCAATTCCCAAATTTATAAAGTTTAATGAAGCACATTTTCTTCTTTATTCTGCTAGGAGAGAAAGCAGACTTCTGGGGGTTTTTGTTTGTTTGCTTGCTATTTGAGACAAGGTTTCTTTGTAGCTTTGGTGCCTGTCCTGGAGCTAGCTCTTGTAGACCAGGTTAGCTTTGAACTCACAGAGATCTGCCTTCCCCTGCCTCCCAAGTGCTGGGATTAAAGATGTGCACCACCACTGCATGGCTGAAAAAGCAAACTAATAAGGGCATAGAAATAAGAATTTCATCTGCCATTTCCATTCTCTAAGAAGAGTTCAAATGAAAAACAAAAAGGAAAAAAAAGCATGCCTAACTTCCATAAAACTATAGTATCAATCTTTTAGTGTAAGGTTTTTTGAAAAATGCTTTCTAAAATCTTACAAATTCAAGAGTCTTCTTAACTAAAATCACTCAGACTCATATACAGTAAAATTACTGAGAGAAACTATAGGGCAGTTAGTTTTAAATCGGTGAGTCTCATCATTTCATTTGCAAATTGGCTTTTCCAATTTAATAAGATCATACTTCTAATTTAGCTGAGAAGACTAGAATATCTATAAAAATACTTTCTTCAAATGGACTGAAAATGTAACTTTCTGTATTTCCAGTTAGGATCTTTGATCAAATCAAGAGCCTTGACTGTTGTTAACAACTAGAAATGTAATAGATCACCTAATTTTACCAATAGAAATTTTAAATACAAACATTTTACTATATTAATTTTAAATTTGATTATCTGTTCATTCAGTATTATTATGACAGAAATACACAGTGTATGTTTATCCAGACTCATTTATTATTAAAAGGAAAAGTTTCATATGTGAATGATGAAACTGAGTCAGAATTGTGATGCAGCAGAGAATAAAGAGAAATATAATTGATCCAAGCAGAGATGTGCTTGAATGCTTAGAGGCAGGATGAATAATTGAAATTCCCCATGGGGCGGGAGAGATGGCTCAGTGGTGAAGAGCATTGCCTGCTCTTCCAAAGGTCCTGAGTTCAATTCCTGGCAACCACATGGTGGCTCACAACCATCTGTAATGAGGTCTGGTGCCCTCTTCTGGCCTGCAGGCACACACACTGACAGAATATTGTATACATAATAAATAAATAAATAAATATTAAAAAAAGAAATTCCCCATGAACTTAGATGCTGTAAGTTTCTGCCATGTAGGTTATGTCTGCTCCTCAGGATAGCTCTTCTGAAAGGGATACTTTGAGGAACATATACCATCAGTCCAGATTGATCTACTGGCATCATGGCTTTCTAATAAAGGCAGTGCTTTCTGTAGCACCATTCCAACATAGTAACTCCCTAGAAGTCAGCATACCTTGTAGGTAACTCTGGTGTCAGGGGCATCATCGGACAGCTGGGCATGTCGGTTATTTCAATAGCTCTCAATCTCTAATGTAAATATAACAATTATACAATAAATATCAAACAAACAAATACAAAGAAGAGTTAGCATAAAATTAGCATAACATTAGAATAAAAATAGAGCATAAAGGAGCATCTATTACAGTATGTACTTATCTTCTATTTTAATTACCTATATGAAGACATCAATTTTTCTAATATAATGTCAAATCTTTTATTTTAAATGTACAAATATGTCCACAATTACTTTCTTGGGAAAGCAAATGAGAATCGCTTCTCCTAATGTATAGATAAGATATGAAAGGAAGCCAGATAAACTACAAAAAATATTTATTAACTTTAAAATAAAATTATAAAGAAATATGCATAACTATTACTACTATTTCTTTTATGCTATTACTGTAGAATTTTATTTTTAGGAAATAAATCAAAATATAATTTGCCCACTGATTTAGTTAATTAATTTTTACAGATGTTTATCTCTTCCTCAATAGATGAAGTAACAGGAACTGAGTTTGGAAATGTATACCAAATGCAATTGGAACACACAGCTCTTTCTATACTAATTGCCTTTTAATGCAACTAATATTACTTTCTGTTTGAATTAGCTTCATAATACAATTATTCAAACAGCATTGTGTAAAATACAGAAAAAGCTATCCAGATATGCATGAAGTTTAGATGAGAGCTCAATGAAGCTTTATAAGTGTTGTAATATCTGCACTCATAGACAAGGTTTATGTCACCTTATTACAGAGCTTTTTTCTGCTTGAGGATCCAATTTATATAATCAAACACATCAACTTATAAGCACAAAGGATGTACTGGATAAGATAATTCATGTGATTTCTAAAGATGGCATTATTAAGCAGAGGCTGTATTTAGTGTATGTTTTTCCTCAGTAAGGTGCTTAATATTTTGTGAAATGCTATTTCAGGAGCTATGGTTTTGAATAGATGGATGCTAAAAAATTGTGCTAAATAGGGCTGTGCTTTTGAATTTCAGAAAGAAACTAATTTTAAAACAACATTTTCTTAATCTGACAGGGTCAAACTTACAAAATGTGATCCCCAAATTTCCATCTAAGCTTGTAAATTGATTCTCCTAGATTATGGTGTACATTGCATGGCAGCAGTGTGAGGTAAAATGACAAAACTCACTTTCTCAGCCATCTCATGAGAATGATGCAGGGAATGTTCCCTTTCTGAGAACATTCTCCTTTGCTCATAGCTGGCTAGACGACAAGTGAGCCAGGAAGACAGAGTACATCCCCCAATGCCAATACATGCCAAAGACATGGAAGCGAGATGCAGCGGGTACACTGATGAAGTCTTCTTTGTAACTGCCCGAAGAAACTGAAAATTCAGGATGCCACCAATAAGCCCACAGATACAACAAGCTGAAAAGAGGATCATCTGAGAAGAAGAAGAAAGAGGATATTAAAGTTGATAAAGTTGAGATGTTCAGAACATAGAGCCTTGTGGTGCTGCAGGCCAAGGATTGTAAACCTTTAATAAAAAGAATGTGTTCTATTTGATTATAAAGAGGTGACAGGTGCCAGTCAGTGAAGACTTCACTCAGTCTGATTCACTACAGAGAAAGTACATCATAGAACTTCTAAAATAAAACCAATGGTATATATTTTATGAAACTCTGAAGTAAACTAAATTTATCTTTTGGCTAGATTCAGATGAAAATAATTCCAGTCTCTAATATGCATGCCTTTGAGGAAGAGTCATCACCTGGTGATCCCTCCCAGAGGTCTTCTGAAAGAAACACTAATATAATTTGGAGAAATGAATGGTGATGAGTTCAGATTCTCTGACTTAAATTCTGTTTAATTCTGAAATCTTTTCAAGTTTCCAAGTATTGGTAACTTCTACTTAGGGTGAAATTGGGGAAATTAGTTAAATTATTTTTCTGTATTTCCACAAATGAGCATCTTTGGACCTTTCCATAGTTTGACTCAAAATCAGTGAAATCTATTGTTGCCCTGAGACACCACAGCAAATATTACACAGCTTCTGTTTCAAAAGTGTTGTTTGATTGTTTTTAAGAAACATAGAACATAGCTTTTATTCTTGATCTTACTACTGGTTCAATATGGGTCTCATATTCATAGAGTTAAAATGCTTAATCAATCTATGGAGGACCTTTGGCAGCAGTAATATGCTTCTTATGCAGGAAACATATTTAGTTGATTCTTTAAAGAACCTCATAATAACTGTATTTGCTTTAGGAAACTGGTCTAAATTACCCTATAGGATATAATGGATCTTTGGAGGATGATACTTACTTATTATCCATTCATATTTCCTTTTCTGGAGCACAGTAGTCAATTACACTTTTCTCCTAGTTCTTAGGGTCAAACAGAACCTCTCATATGCTAGGCAAGTACTCTACAATTGTACTATACTCCCAGCAAACCTTTCTTACCCTTGGACACACCACACACATATCATAAAAAGTACATTTATAGTTTCCTGAAAATAATTTTGCTTTGTCCTTGGACAGCTAGTAGAAAAAAAGTCATAACTTTTTCAGAAGACCTTCCTGGATATTATTGATATTATTTGTTGTGTTAATAATTCTTTAGGACAGAGTTTTATAACATATTTTAGAATGTATTTTTTACATTATAAGATATTGTTTGCTTTCAACAGTTAGTTGAGCTCTACAAGTAATATTTGAGTACTGGCCCTAAGTGAGGCAGCCTTTCTCATTAGAAGGATTTGCACAATTCCTTCTAATTATGCAATTTTTATATACTTTACTGCAATGAGGTTTAACATATTAAGTATGGCATGGTCAATATCAGAGAGAGGGAGGAGAGTACATTGATTTAGGAGTAGAGAAAGGAAAAATTATCAAAATAGTGTTGCAATCTATATCCTTCAGTGAAGCACTAGGAGAGGACCAGGCCATGAATGTTTGAAACAGCACTAAGAAAATTTTGACAGGCAAAGATTTCTACTTGTCCAGTCATTTGCTTCATTTCTCCAAGATAATGCTGCCTTACTTATTGTGCTTATGTCAGGATTGAAAACCCGATGGTGAAACAATAAAATCTTTGTACATCTTATTGAATATATTGTTGAAACTTTATTACTAATTTACAAAATTGTTCTATTTAGTTATAATTTGTATTTTAAAACAAGTAAAATTAACCATTTATATACTAATTTAACTGATACTCACTTGCCTTAAAGTTTCTTGAGTACATATTTTGGTGTTTACTCACATACAATATTAAATGATCTCCCATCCTTTCCATTCATTTTTACTTTCTTTTGTTTTTTTCTAAACAAACTGTTCCAATACAACTATAACTGGTATTGATAGTTTAAAAGTGCATAAAGAATAAAGGCCATACTTAAAGAGTAATAGAATAATTATAACTGCCAACTAAAAATATAAACATTCTTCCCCTAACAGTCCCATTTCCTTCAAATGTTTAACAATTAGTTTACACATGGATGCCACAGGGGACGTTTTATCTGCCTTTCCAGAGTAGATATTATCACGAAGAAAGATGGAAGATGAGGATGATTGGGAAGCCCCCCCCCACACTTACTACTCTGACCCCACACATGACCTGTTATTGGAAAACATTTTTGAGCTCAAAGAACATTCTCCAGGTCCCTTGTGTAACTAAATTTGCCAATTAATAGAAGCTTATGGTATTTTATATGGTACCAGTAGAATAAATCATGCCTTTTCCTTCTTTTCAATTCTGACAAAATGTCATAAGGACTGAGTCCTCACTTCAGCATGTAGGGCTCCCTCACAGACAATATTAGAATTAACAGGGAGTATGTTGCCTATTCCAGAATCCTTTGATACTACAATAGAACATCCAAAAATGATTATATATGTATTGAGAGTAGTAAAAATTTATTAAATATCTTTTAAAAGAATCAACTGCAACCAAATACCACCTCTTTCTAGGTGCTCTGCAAAATTAGTCTCACAGAAAAAATATAAGTAATCTTCAGTCCCAGATTTATATTTAATCAGGTCAAATTTCCACAGAATAGGTTTTATGAAAGACCCAGGTAATTTCTTGAGTGTCTCTACAGGAAAAAAAATATGAAGACTCTCATGTAGAGCAAATATTAAAGTTTAAATATTCAAGTATTTAAAGTATATCTAAGATGTTTTTCAAGAACTTTGTTGGTTTTTTGCTTACTTTTTTATTTAAGACATGGTTTCTCTGTAAATTTGGAGCCTGTCCTGAAACCAGCTCTTGTAGACGAGGCTGGCCTTGAACTCACAGAAATTTGCCTGCCTCTGCCTCCTAAATCCTAGGATTAAAAGCACACACCACCACTGTCCAGCCTAGTGTTTTACTTATCTCTAACATTTTGATACTTTTCTTTGGAACACTGAACTCAAAATTTGCTTCTTAGTTTCTCTTTAATCCTGAATTCGCAACATTAAGTAGACAAAAGTACTCTAGTTATAATTTCTGTTTTGAATTTCAAACCCTTCAATATAGGATAGAAACAAGGCAAAAACTTACAACAAGTCCTGATTTTTTTTTTGCGCACAGTATTCCACATATGCCACAAAGAAGAAACTGCAAAAGAAAAGAAGAATTATTGTGTTTATATAGATAGGAAAAGCTTGTATGTTTAACTCATTATAATCCATTCATGACACTTTCTCCAAGCAATCTTGCATGTTTCAGACTCCCAGCAAGACAAAATTAAAAACCTTGTTGTAGAATGTCAAAGGCTAAATTTTATTTATTTTTTGTAAAAGCTAATTGTGAGACTTAATACTTAAATCTGTTTGTTACCAGGAAAAAATGTGAAGTAAAGAAACTAGAATTTTGTTCCTTTTGACTCATTTAATTGTCATTTTCTTTTCTACTCTCTCAGAGACAAATACATTATAAGACATTCATTCACATTAAGCACTTAGACCTCAAGAGGTTGTTACATGGATAAGGAAAATACCACAGATAAAATTAAAAGACATCAAAAAAGAAGATCATTCTCTATAGAGACATTAATTGCTTCATATTTTGAGACAATGATTACATCATTCTGACAGAAATATTGTCTCTGTGGACATGTCCAATGAACCCAAACAGACAAAGCAATGGATGGCATACAATTTCATATTAATGAGAAACTGATTACAAAGCTTTTTGCAAAAAAAGCACATTAAATAATCTACCCATGATAAAGTAGTCAGGAGTTTAATTTGTATAAAAATATTTAAGGCTGTTGGAATAAAAATTTGTTCATAATTCAGTTGGCCTAACAATTTAGTTAAAATAAATAATTTATAAGAAGTAATAAGAAAATTCCTGATTCAAATTTGCTAAGAAACCTGTTTCTATTTGATTTTTAATTTTTTGATTTTTTTTAATTTCATAGTGAGTAATGTTCTTGCTACCAAACCTGACAGCCTGAGTTAATATCCTTTTGACTCACAAAGTGAAAAGAACAAATTTTTACAGGTTGTTTATGGATGTCCATATTTATGTCCACATGTATAAACACAAACACACACACAATTATATAAATAAATATAATAAAAAATTTAAAGTGTATCATGTAATAGCTAATAATATAACTAGTTTCAGTGAAATATTTTGTATCTGGATATTTTTCAAAATGCATCCAAAAATATTCCAATACTTCCATGAAATAATATGTATGTGAGGAACATATTGAAAAATAGTGGGGCTGTCTGTGAGGTCCTTGGAGCCCGGCAAGAGGCTCTGCTCCTGTACTGAGAGGATCCAGAGAGGGGAGTGCGTGGTCAGAAAACCTTTGGCATTGAATAAATGGGACCTACTAAAGCTGAGAAGCTTCTGTAAAGCAAAGGACACTGTCACTAAGACAAAAAGGCAACCTACTGACTGGGAGAAGATCTTCACCAACCCCGCAACAGACAAAGGTCTGATCTCCAAAATATATAGAGAACTCAAGAAACTAGACTTTAAAATGCTAATTAACCCAATTAAAAAATGGGG